ATTAGTTTAACTTCATCATTATTTTAAAACTTTAAAATTTTATCATTTAGCTTATTTAGCTTTGTTACTTATATTGTTTACTAATAGAAAAAATATCTATTAATTTTGTATAATCAATTTTTGCTATTTAATTAGACTAATGAAAATTGATTTAAAGTTGATATTATTAAACAATTTTGCTAGATTTGAGATTCAAAATCTTTATTATAATCAACTTTTAACTTTGCAATTTTCTAATTTTTAATTCTAAATTATATTTTAAAATTATAGACAAATACATGATTTTTATAATATAAAATATATGTAATTTTACAAGAGAAAAAAGAATTTCTTAAGTTGCAAAAGTGGTTTTTTAGATAATTTTATATAAATTCAAAATATCATTTTTTTTTATAATAAAACAAGATTTTTATTTTATATTTGAATTTCTATTTTATTTATGCTAAAATAATGTATTTATAATTTTTTTCATTGTAAAAAATATGATAATAGATACTTATAAAAATAAGATATTTTAATGTCTTTACATTTAATTTGTAATAATTCTAATAATCTTTAATTTTCTTTCTATCTCATCCATCTTAATATTATTTTAAAATTACTAATATATATTCAATATTTTTATTAATAAAAGAATTTGATATATTCTAACTTTAAAAAAATTTTTTATATTGTGATACTATATAACACGTGATTTTTACTTTTTTTTTTATTAATAGTATACTTTCATGATTAATGAAATATCTTTTAAAGTTAAGTAAGAAATTTATTTAATATTATTAGAGTTGATTATTTCTTACATTTAAAAAATCTAAAATGAAACTCTAATTAAGATATGGGAAACGGTCAGTAGAAAAGGGGAAAATTCAAATTTTGGTCAAAATTTATATTATTAGACCACTTAGCTGATCTCAATCATATGCACAAAATTAGCTTAATAATTAAAATTAACAAAAATTTTGGATTTCCCCCTTTTTTACTGACTGTCTCCCATATTTCTATCATATCATTTAAGTAAAAAAAAATTATAATTTTAAAAATCTAAATAAAAAATGTTAAATCTATAATATCAATAAAATGTATTATAATATATTTAGAATAAAGTATAAAAATATAAAAACTGATAAAAAATATATATATATTAAGCAAAACTATTTTAATAAACATACCTTTTAAAGTTTTATTAAAACCTTTCAAATTTTTAATTTAAATAGTAAGCTTTATTATATCTTTTGTTTTAATAAATAACAAACTTTTAATTTATCAATACAAAGTTAAAAACATTATTTATTCAATAATATTTTATTTTTAAAAAAAATATTTTATATTTATTTAATTTTACTTTATATGCTAAATATGATTTTTTTAGTAAAATAAGTTCAGATTTAACATTAATTCATAAAAACTTTTTTTTTTTTGAAATTTTAAATATTATATATTTATAAAAGTATTATAATATTTAATTTGCAAATTTTTAATAATATAAAAAATAAAAATAAAAATATATTTAACAATAAATAAATTTTATAAATAAATAATATATTATTATTATAAAAATTATAAAAATTAATACATATTTATGTATTTAAATTTTTAATTTATAAGATTTTATTTTTATTAAAAAAAAACTGCTTATGAATTGTTTTGTAAAATTTTTATTTTTATTTTTATTTTTATTTATTTCTATGACTAATTATTAAAATTTATTATAATTTATTATTATTATTATTATTATTATTAAAAAAAAAGATAAGAATGTAAATACAAAAAAAATAATAATAATTCAAAATATTCAAAAAAAAAAGTAAATCAAACTGCTAGATAATTAATATATATAACTAATAATATTACTTTAATTACTATTATCAACAGTAATTAACCATATATTATAGAAGAAAAAAAAAGAAAAAAGTAAGTTTTTAATAATATATACAAAAGTTTGTTTAATAATAATTTTTTTAAAAATTAAAAATAAGCAATCCAATTGTCTTTTACTATCATAAAACTTCCCAAAACTATAATTTCGCTTAATTGTAAATAAGTCATAAAAAAAAATTAATTCGCCAAAATTTGATGTCTAAAATAAAAAAGGAAAAATGAAATGCAAAAAATACCCAATCCCTTTTCATACAATTAATTCAATGCTATATTATTATTGTTATTATTTTTTTTGTTCATGATTGTTTCTATTTTAAAAAAATTACATTGCTCAATATGTATAAAGAGCAACCGATTAAATGTTTTTATTACAAAAAATAATCCTCTCTTTTTCCCTTTACTAATAAAATCATCCAAATCGTCAATTATTTTTTCAAAAAAAAAATTTCTGACATACCATTACCGGTTATTATGAAGTTATACCACTACGGATCCCTCCTTGACCAAACTCCCAATTTTTTATCATAATTCATCATCGAGATCTTCATCATCCTCATCCGTTTCTTCCTCAGTTACCCAAACATCATCATCATCATAATAAAAGACATCACCTTCGCCAACTTCTCTCATAACACCATAACAACCTTCTAATTCTAAAAATCTTAATTCCTTACACATCCTCTTTAATTCATCTAAACTTAAATCCGTTACTAATTCACAATACTTTAAATTCAACCATTTTATAGTAGGACAAGTAACAGCGAATTTTGATAAAGCTGTGTCAGTTATATCAGTATAAGAGAAGTCCAGAGAAGCTAACACTTTACAAGAACGAGCCAAAGCAGAGAATCCCACATCAGTAAATTTAGGGCATGATGAAACGTTAAGAGTTGTAAGATTTGAGCCTAAATGATTTGCTATATGGGTGAGAGTCAAATCATGAAGTTGACGACAATAATTTATGTCAAGAAAGGTTAAATTTGGACATAAATTAACTAAAGCTATGATGTCATCATCGGTGATATCTGTCCGTCTATCTGAAAAACCCGATAAATCGATTTCATGGACTAAAATTCCTGAACTAGTGGGAATCTGAAGGAACGTATGAAAGTTACGTTTATTAGTTAATTGTGGCCTATGAAATAGTATCGGTAAAGCGATAGCATGCCATTTACGACATACTCTCGATATACGAGACAGTGATTTTTGTTCTTTTCCAAGGAGAGAAAATATACAATGTAAAAGCTCGGTCGGCAAAAGGTACATTGTTTTTTTTATTTTATTTACTTGATAGGGCCCCCCTATTTTTTATCAAATGAGATTTAAGCCTCTTGTAAGGTCTCGAGATGTGAAGAGAGATGGGTGAGGAGATTGTGAAAGAAAAAAAAAAGCTGGGAAAAAAGTTTGCTTCTTTTATTTAGTCTACCTTTTATTTATTTGTAAGGGTATTCAGAAAGTAGGTAGGTATGAAAAAAATATAAAAAAACGGCGCAAAAAAAAAGTAGAAGTGATGTAATATATATGATATATAAATTTTCGAGTTAAAAAGGGAAAAGGAAAGTAAAAAAAAAAAAAAAAAAAAAAAAGGACCAAAGGGAGAAAACTAAGGAAAGGGGGAAAGAATAATTAAGGAAAGTCAAAGAACAATGTAACCCGTTTCGAGACACATCATAAATAAGCCCAAAAAAAAAAAATTTTTATAAATACGACATTTTTATTGAATATGGATTTTTACTACTACCGAAATAAAAAACAACAACAACTGAAATAAGGAAAGAACGACGGAAATAAACAAAACTTCAAGTCTAATGTCAAAAAATCAAGTTTGTGCGACGTCTAGAAATAAGAACATTGAATAAAGTTAGCTAGCTCGTTAGTGATATAATGTTACACGTCAACTTGGTTTGGTTTTCGCGAGCCTTTTATGATCAGAATTGATTGGTTTAAGGAAGATTACCTAAATCGTATCGTTCTATTACCATAGCTTTTTTTAAAAGCATTTTAGGTCTCGGGCTGAAAATTACGGGGCGTGCCGCGTATTAAAAAAACTTATTAAAGTGGGGCTATGGGTTCCACGACACAACTGGTGATCTGCTATATGATCACGCACGCGCTAAAACTAATTCACACATTCTCCGAATATCTTCATCGTAGATTTTATATTAATAATTTTCAGGGGCAATTCTTCACTTTTTAATTAAAAAAGATGATTAGGTTATTTTTTTAAATATTTGTTATTTATACATATATGATCTACGTTGAATTTGCTTAGTGAGCTTGCACACATCACACACGTTTTTCATTCTAATCCAAATTTGCTATAATCTAATTAAGAAAAAGATTGACTTGTAAATTACATAAGAAAACAAGTTGGGCCATTTTAAAATTTATTGTAATTATAAATGAACACCAAAGTTAAAAATTTATCTTTTTGTTTAGTAAATAAAATTTACCTAGTTTTTGGATTTATTTGTTTATTATTAGTGCAACAGAATAGAAAATAAATAAATTAAGATTGGTTTTCGGTAATGATTTATTTTGATAATGCAAAAAAGGTCCAAAATGCGCAATTACAATAACTCTTTTTTTATACCTCTTTTTTTTTTCTTATTCTTTTTTTTTTTAAAAAAAAAAGTAAGGGAGAAAATGGAAATATTTTTTTTTTCAAATCGAAGGCTTCAACTACTAATAATAAGCCTATTTTTTTTTTGTCAAAAGTATAAGGTACAAACAAGCCAGGCGGATAACAAAAAGCAAAGCATTTCTGAAAAATGGGATGATGTTCGCAGCAATTAAAAAAACGGTTTCACAAACGAAAATGCGCTTATTCAAATTTGTATAATGCATGAACCTGATTTCTATAAATATTGTATTAACCACTTTTTTGCAAATTAGAAACGAACGAATCGAATAATTATGTCAAATATATATGATAACGTGCCGGGAGGATCGTTAAACCTTAAAGGAGACTCTGGAACTCCAAAAAAAATAAAAAAGTATTAAAAGTATTTAATAGATCTATGCACAGGAAAAGTTAACAAACTAACTCGTGTATGGTTTATAGGAAAAAGAAAAAAACTCAAAATGACAAAGAAAAACTTAAATCGTACGCCAAAGAGTTGATGAGCGATGATGCTTCATCAGCAGAGGTCAAACCTATTCGGGTAGTTACAAAGACCGAAGCCGAGCTAAAGTTTGAAGCGATTCAGAAAAAAAGGGTTGGTATTTGACCTCAGAACCTATCATATTTATTTCTAATTATTAATGGTATTTTTTTATTTAATTATTTATTTGCTTATCTTTTCTTTGGTAAATAAATAGCTGGAAGAGAAAGTTGAAAAGGCAGCACGAAGATCACACAAGGAACGTGTGGCAGAATTGAATAGAAAATTGGAAGAAATGACCGAACATTATGATATTCCAAAGGTAATTTGTCTTGTATGATTGGTTAATAAAAACATTTGGTAATTATTATAATTTATATTAACACGTTTATTTATGTTTGTCATAGGTTGGACCTGGCTAAGGATTCATCATCATCATCAGATGAAGATTTATCATCTTCAAGTATAACATCATACTTCTTTCCTCGAATTCCAAAAATGCCCCAATTTGTCCAAACGCCAACCCTAATATCTTTCAAGTCAATTTCTCTTTTCATACTTCTAAATACATTCTCACCAGGCCTTAATAACCAATCAAATTCATATTCGCCTTGTTCTCCCTTTTCTTCGATAGCGCTAACTTCACTATGTAAATCATTTTGATCAAATCCGGTAATAAATATAGCACATTTTGTTTGTAATAATTTAAGTAATGATTCATGCCAAGAGTTTGTTTGTGAAATCCCTGGGGAGAAGAGAAAGAACACATCCGTGTATGGATCAAATGGTGCTAACGACGCGTGATAAGTGTGATAATATGATGTTGACCATGTAAATGAAAGTTGCGGTGTATAATTCGTATGTTTTACCACTTGGGGTGAGGATTTGTCATCATTGTGAAGGTCACCGGGAAGTGATTCGGGACCAATGAAGTAGATGTGAAAGTAAATGGAAGGGAATAAATATGATAATTGGGAATAAATGTGAGGAGGCAACTGAGATTCCGCGCGTGGTCCTAATATGAAAATACGAACCACGTCTGTTGGTTTCTGATCTTTAATATCATGAGAGGTGGTTTTTGGGTATAACGTTGATCTTAAAGCAAATAAAGATTTTAACCCTTCGTTTGTTAACCGATTCTTGGTTGTATAAGGTCCATATTCATGTAATACTGATGATATCGTTATTGGATATGTCAGTAATTTGGATACATGTCTAACGGATCGATTATTATCCATACTTGGAAATCCACGTGTATACAAAAATGCGTCCCAGTTTGACATGTTCACTTGTTCATCAAGTGGTTGCGATGATGGAAATTCAAATTCAGTCATTCTTCTACCGCTTCTTAAATCGTGTTCGTCTTCATTAATCTGTCTCAACATCGAACATGTTTCCGAATCTGTATGCTGCTCTTTATCTCGTAGATAATGTTCTAATGAACAATGTGTTGGAAATCCACAATCTGGGCATTCATATTTTGGTTGATTTTTTATTTCACTTTCTTGAGATGAACATGCCGGACAAGAACCAAATTCGCATATTTGTTTGTATCGTTGTCGAAGATCTTCGAATCTTGAAGCTGATAAAGGATGGAATAGATCATCTTGTGAGAGGATTGGTTTCGCATTTAATGTCGAAGGTGTTGATTTTTGACGAGTGAATATGGATTTTAATGAAATATATCTACGAGTGAGATTTAAGTAGGGGAACGTGTAATTGATGTTGTCATTTAAGCATTTATACTTATTACGAGTTGTAAATTGTTGTTTAACCAATGAAGAATTATTTAATCGAAAATGATTTATTCGAGAAACGTATAAGCGAGACATTTTTGTTCATATACCAATGTTTTAAAAAAAATTGGTACTGTTGAAGGTATCTTGATGGATGCTGGATGCTTATCTCGTTCAAAAATTATCAACTTTTTGATTACAATAAAGTTAAAATCTAAATTAACCGACAGCTTGCTCTTGACAAAAAGACGAGTCCGAAAATTTTTTTTATTTTAATCAGAGATCTATAATTGCACGTGATCTCATTAGGGTTATAAATTTGGGGATAAATTTTAGCCAATCATATTACACCAAAAATTGGAATGAAATCGATCTAGTGATGTAAAATGCATGACTGTCACGTACCTCTTTCATTACATAGAACGTGAATACATAGTATTTTTTTATAAATAAATAATAACGTGAAATAGATAATTTGACTAAACAAATTTAGAGTATTATTTTCGGATTTACATTTTTTGGCCTTTAAATTTATGTTATATGAATACATGTGAACAAAACAACACGCAATTTTCATTCATTCATTCAATAATTTTATTCTTCGCGTCATTATTTAACAAAATTTATCCTTATTTATTTTATTGATAAACATTCTAGACATTCGTTTTTTCTTAAATTATACCATCAACAATTACTAGAATGATGTCGTTCAATATCGAAATCAATTATTGAAACAGATTTTTATTTCAATCTATAAAGGAATGACACATTTAGGATATTTATGTACATTTTGATTTAACAAAGACGGTTTAATAATTAATCAGTCTTTGAATTATTTCATCATCATAGATTTTTATATACTGTATCAATAAATCCATCCCTCTCTCTCAAAAAAATATATATAGTATATATTTTCTGCCAAGTTTTCTTTTTTTAATAAAAAAAAATAAAATAAATGATATGATATTATATGAAATAAATGAATTATAAATCATACCGCGTATCCCTTTTAAATTACTTTACTTGATTCCTTTGCCCTATGACAAATCATCAATATAATGTATTTATTTCAAAAAAAATGAAGGGTCAAATATATACATATATACTTTACTTATAGATCAAAATGTATAGAAATGATGACTGGGTTCAATTTCGGTTCTTCTCCTCTTCAAACTACATGACATCGATTCGATAATGATTGGAATATTGGCCATAAAAGGATATATTCCTTATTGAGGTAGATAATCAATGAAATCCTCCTAAGAACAAAAATGAGTAAATTAGTAATGATCACCACCAGAATAATATTTACATAATATTTTTGAAATGGAGTGGCGCGGTATTTAGTCTGAATGTGATCAAATCAAGTTAAATCCGAGTATCTTTAAGGAAATAATGGTAACATGGTACAAATGCATCAAATATAATAAATAGATGGAGTTTGAATTCCGATTCCTTAAAAAAAAAATTTTTTTTAATATTTGAAATGAGTGAAGAAAAACAAAATGAATCAAGCAAACAAAACACATTAAGCTATATTGCAGAAAAAATAGATGATATTTCAGATATTGCTGAACCCATAGTCAAAAATACAGTGAAATTAACTGCGGCAATAGGAGAAGCAGCTACAGCAGCAGTTCCATTCGCAAAATTTATCCCTTTAATTTCCGAAATTGGAAATGTACTTAACGAAATCGTTGAAATCGTACAAGCTGCTGAGCATAATAAACGAACTTGTGAAGCATTATTACAACGAGTTCATGTGGCAGAATTGGCTGTCTTTGATCTTAGAATTAGAAGAAATGAAAAGAAAGAATTCTTCGTTAATAGGAACTATTTATATTTACAAAATTTGGTTAATGTTATAGCAAATATCAAAAAATTCGCGGGAGAAATTTCTCAAATGAATACTTTGACGAAGTATCTCAAGTCAAAAGGTGTTGAGAAAACTTTTAAGGAATTATGTAGAGAATTTGATAGTTGGATAAATTTATTGAGCTTTACCATATTAGTTGAAGAAAAATTTCGTGCTGAGGACGAAGCTGAACAATTAAAATGTGATCAAGATGATTTAAATAAAGTAAGATTAAATTTTATTTTACGTAAAATATAAACATGTCGTTAATTATCACATTTAATAACGTAGTATCTGGCAGAAATGGGAGTTGACGTCAAAGAAATTGGAACTGATGTCAAAGAATTGAAAGGAGAGTTTTCCTCAATGGTTTTAAAAATCAATACAATGAATAATAAGATGGAAAAATTAATTGACGAACAAAATAAAATTTCAGTACGAAAGGAAACCAATAATGTTGAAATTTATCAAAAGAAAATTGATTCAATTTTCACGGAAAGGCATACATTAGTATTCTCAAATTATAAAGAAACCAATGATCATCGTAATGATGGACGTGTAACTCGGTACCTTAACATTAGAAATGAGGCTCAAGAATTAGCATTTAAGAACATTTCAGATGTAGAAGATAAAAATAGCATACGGAATCAAGTTACAATCTTTAAAGAATTTCAAGATTGGCCAAACATCATAAAATTTTATGGACTTGCCTATGATGAAAATAAATCGTATTTGGTAACGGAATGGGCTGAGTTTGGAAATTTACACGAATTTTATATTGAACATGAAAGACGAATTGATGAATCTTTAAAATTACGTATATCTCTTGATATTGCTCGTGGATTAAATTTTCTAAGATCTGTAGGGGTAAGCATAAGCATAAGCTTTAATTATTTATTTAATTGCTCAAATTTATTTAATTCATTTTTAAAATTTTTTTAGATCGTTCATCGTGACATCAGATCAAAGAATATTTTAATTACGGTTAATGATACAGCAAAACTTGCAAATTTTAAATTAAGTCGTTACTCGAGCGGACCTACAAAAAAACATAATCAAAATTTAGAACGCGTTCGTTATTGTGCTCCTGAATTGTTGGATAGGGCCCCGAATTTCAAATATGATCATAAATGTGAAGTTTATGGCTTTGGAATCTTACTTTGGGAAATCGCTGAAATGAAACTTCCGTTTCAAGAATATGATGATATTTTGACTATAACCGAACTTGTACTTAAAAAGAAATATCGAGAACCTTTTTCTGAAAATAATAGAATGCCTATCGAATTCCAAGAATTAGCAATGGATGGTATGTAAATTATGCGTTGGTATAACTTTTTCTCGCAAAAATTTATAATTTTTTTCTTTTTTAGCTGTTAATCAAGATCCAGAATTTAGGCCAAAAATTACAGACATGTTCAGAGTACTTCGAATTTGTC